CTTTCTTCCAGGCCTTATGTCTTATTTCAACAACAACAACAATAACAACAACTTCTAGCTTAATAATAAAAATCATCTTCCAGAAAGCTACTGAGCTATCCCAAAAGTGTCAGGTCTCAAACACCTTTCAGGAGGGAGTATTTGGTTTCATACTGAGAACAGAAAAAATCTGTTTTACAGGACTGGAGATAAGAGATTGATGTGCTGTTTATGGGCTTGGCTAGGGAAAATAGATCAGACTGTAAAGGTGAGATTAATGATGAGGCCTCTTTCGTGATCCAAGAACATTTAAAACCTTTGCTGCATATTCACAGCATATTCGTTTGTTGTTTTAGTGCCTTTAGTGAAATGAAAGTTCAGAAGAAATCAATCTGTGCAGAGGAAGGTCAAATACAAATTGTAGACATAATAGGGGAATATCCTATTAGAGAAAAACCTTTCAGTTATAATTTTTTTTGTTTTAAAAATGCTTTTATTTGGAACTTAATAAACACCTGATCATGTCACTCTACTCAATAAAATGGGCATTTGTACATACATAGTACAATAGAAAAAGTATGCATGAAATTGCAGATCTCTGTTACGTATAGCTTGGTTTTCTTTTAAAAGCTATAATAATTTCAACCAGCAATTTAAAAAATGAAAAGTGACCTTTGACGCAGTGAAAAGAATGCTGGATTTGGAGTCAAGAAACCTGCTTACTTGCTTCCCATGTGACCTTAGGCAAATTACTTAACCTCTCTGGGCCTTTTATCTGTAAAATCAGGCCATTTGAGGATGGTGGGGAGGGAGGGTGAGAAAAATTTTAAACTCAAAAGCATATGGAAGTGATTGTTGATAAATCAAAATAAATTAATTACAAAAATAATCAGGCCATTTGCAAGTGACCATTATGGTCTCTTCTAGCTCTAAATGTTTGATCTTGTCATTTTTTGACTCCTATGATTAGAGAATACCTAGGCAATTCAGGAGGTAGTAGGCCCCCCTTGTGGCTGTTGTTGTTATTGTTATTGTTGTTGTTACTCAGTTATGACTGCATTTGGGCTTTTCTTGGCAAATACTGTAGGGGTTTGCCCTTCCTTCTCTAGCTCACTTTACAGATGAGGAAACTGAGGCAAACAGGGCTAGAAGACTTGCCCAGGGTCACACAGCTAGTAAGTGTCTGAGGCCAGATTTGAACTCAGGTCTTCTTGACTCCAGGCCCAAAGCTCTATCCATTGAGCTACCTCCCTGCCACAGCAACAACAACAACCAGAGGTTCCCCTTTGATTGAAGTCTTCAGGAGAAGGATAGATTTTTGTAAACAATGATAGGCTCATAGGATTTTGGAGCTGGAAGGGAATGCAGAAATCATCTTATTCAAGCCCTTTATTTTAGGAGGACTGTGAGCCCTAAAGAGGTTGGTGTGACTGGTCGAAGGTGGGATAAGTAGCCAAGCTGGGATTTGAATCCAGGTTCTCTGATTCCTCCCTCAGGGCTCTTGCTACTGCAAAAGGGATGGAGAGTGTAGAGAGGATTGTTCTTCAGGTCTCACTCTGTTATTTATGAGCTCCTGTCAAACTCTGAGAGTTTGTAAATCTACGCAAAGTGCTCGTGCCTCACTTTGCCCAATGGGTGCATTAATGATGAGCCATATCTCCTTAGATTCCTTTTCTTTACCACCTTCGAAAGATCCACTATAAATACTTTAGTACATCGTTAGAGTGTTTGTTTTCCTTAAGGCTAATCCCTCCTTCGATCTACCTTCCTTCTAATTCTCCTTTCTTTTTTCTCCTTTTCCTTCCTATTTCCCTATTATTATTTAGTCATTTCAGTAGCAACTTAAAGTATATCAAAGATGCATACTAAGTTAAAACCTATATTCCCAATAAAAATATGATGCCATTTGGGGTTTTCTTGGCAAAGATATTATGGCACTTTGCCATTTCCATCTCCAGCTCATTTTGCAGATGAGAAAATGAAGGAAAACAATGACTTGTCCAAGATTACACAACTGGCAAGTGTCTGAGGCTGGATTTGACCTCAGGTCTTCTTGACTCCAGCCCTGGTACTCTATCCACTCTGCCATCTGGCTACCCCATTTCTCTATTGAGTGAAATGTATTTCTGTACTCAACTGTGAGTATTTGTGTATTCTTCCTTCCTTTGACCAATCTAGATGTTATCAACTGGATTTTTGTCAATTGAATCGTACGTGGCATGATGAGAAGAACTTTGGACTTTGAGCCAACAGACTTGCCCTCCAGTCTGTTATTATCCAGTCTCAGTCTTACTAGCCATGTGACCTTGCACAAGCAATCTCTCCTGTGATTTTTAATTTCCTCATTCATAAAAATGGGGACAACAGTCACGCAACCCAACTCAAGTGATGACAGTGAGGATCAAAAACATGACATATGGAGAATATCTTGTAACCTGCAGCAGATCTATATAGAGCTATATAAATGAGACCTTATTAACATCTCCATTATTGATTAATAACCAAGATGAAAGTAATAATAGCTACCATCTATATAGTTCTTTAAGGTTTGCAAAGTGCTTTACATACATAATCTCATTTGATCCTCACAAAAATCCCTGTGAAGCAAGTGCTATTTTTTTGAATACAAATTTATTCATTTTTAGTTTTCAACATTTACTTCCACAAGATTTTGAGTTCCAAATTTTCACCCATCTTACCCTTCCCCCCACCCCAAGATGGCATGCATTCTGAATACCCCTTCCCCAAGTCTGTCCTCTCTCTATCTCTCCCCCCTTCTCTTATCCTCTTCCCCTTCTATTTTCCTGTAGGGCAGGATAGATTTCTGTACCCCATTTCCTGTATTTTTTATTTCCCAGTTGCATGTGAAAACATTTTTTTAAACATGTGTTTTTAAAACTTTGGTTCCAAATTTTCTCCCTTCCTCCCTCCCCACCAACTCTCATTGAAAAGCCAAGAAACCCAATATATGTCATATATGTGCAGTTATGCAAAACACTTCCATAGTAGACATGTTGTGAAAAACTAACTCTATTCCCTTAATTCTATCCTGCCCCCCCCATTTATTCTAATCTTTTTTTTGACCCTGTCCCTTCTCAGAAGTATTTGCTTCTGATTACCCCCTTTCCCAATATGCCCTCCTCTCTATCATCTCCCTGCTCTCTTGTCCCCTTCCCTCTCTTGTCCCACTATTTTCCTGTAGGGTAAGACAGATTTCCATACCCAATTGAGTGTGTATGTTATTCCCTCCTTAAGCCAAACCCTATGACAATAAGATTCACTCATTCCCTCTCACCTACCCCCATTTCCCCTTCACTGTAAGAGCCTTTTCTTATCTGTTTTTTTTGTGAGATAATTTACCCCTTTCTACCTCTCTTTTTCTCTTTCTCCTAGTATAATCCTCTCTCATCCCTTAATTTTATTCTCCAAATATGATCCAGTAAATGCTATTACGATCCCCACTTTATAGATGAAGCAATTAAGGTTGAATGATTTAAGTGACTTGATCCAGCTTGTAAGTATCTGAGGTAAGATTTGAATTCAGGGCTTCCTGACTCCAACTCCAGTGCTCAAGCCATTGTGTCACCTGAATGGGACAAATAATAACTGTGTCCATTAAAGTCCTCCTCTGATGCCTTTTTATGGATTAGAGGGAACTGTATTTAATGGAAAGATGCCAGTGGAACACAAAGTCCAACTAAGTCGGGAAGGCTTTAAATGCAAGGCAGGCAGGGAGTCTGCTTGAGAGCCTACAATCTGAGAACCAGCCAGGCTATGGTCTGAGAGACTCATCAGCAAAAGATATTTCCCCCTGTAACCAGAGAAGGCTGACTGTTAGGAACAGGAAATATTTGCAATTTATGTCGGTAAAGAGAACCTAGGTGAAAAAGTCCTTGGAGTAAAGACAGATATACCAGGGAAGTTCATTGCCTTTAGATTAATTAATGTTCAGGTGAGTTATTTTGTAAGTCAAAAAACATTCTTGTAAAAGGGTAACAGCAACAATTATAATAATGGCTAGCATATGCATGGGTGCATGTATGTATATACATGTATGTATGTGTATGCATGTGTGTATTTACATATTTGTATGCATGTGTATGTGTGTAGATATATATATATATATAATATACACGCACACACACACACACACACACACACACACACACACACACACACAGAGAAAGCCTTAAAGATTGCAAAGCACTTTATCTCATTGAATCCTCCAAAACAACCCTGAAAAGTAGGTGATATTATTATCCCCATTTTTATAGATGAGGAAATTGAGGCTGAGAGAGGGTAAGTGACTTGCCCAGAGTCATACAGCTAATACATGTGTGGGATAGGCTTAGAACTCAAGGCATCCTGACTCCTAGTCCAGCACTCTAATCCACTGCACTAAGTACCTTTCCCCTTCCTAATTAGGTTTTATAAATTTGGATTTTCATATAATGGGCTTGCTGAAAGCAGAAGGATACCTATAGTAGCTCTGAGCTGTTGGACAGTTAGAATAAAATACAAAGATTGCTTAACTAGTGGTGTTAATGTGTCCATAAACTATCTTGGTACTATTATCACAGCTTGGTGGAGTTGAAAGCGTGTAGGATCTTCAGTTGGGAAGACCTGAGTTCAAATCCTGCTTCACACATTCACTAGCTGTGTGTTGCCTTGGAAAAGTCATTTAACTCTCTAGGCCTCAGTTTTTCCATCCATAAAATGGCAATAATAATAGCACCTACCTCCTAGGGTGGTTATGAGGATCAGATGAGATAATAATAACGCACTTAGCTATGTGCCTGGCACATAGAAAGCACTATATAAATGTTAGCTTTTGTTAACATCATCATTATTTTTATTATCATTGTTGTTATCATTATTATTGCTTATCTTGTTTTTTTCCCCCTAAAATGAAAAGGTTACACCAGATAGCCTCTGAGGTCTCTTCCAGTTCTAAAATCATGAATCTGTGCTGCCTCCCCCAACCCTGGCCCACCAGCTCTGAAGGAAGGGTGGGCCCTTACCACAGCATCGCTGTCATAGAGCTCCACCACGACCAGAGGCGGGGATTCAGCCACTTCCTTCTGGTCCCCATAAAGCACAATGTTGTTGAACAGCAACATCTGGTTCCAGGTGGGGGACAGGGTCTGTGAAATCACCTGGAGGGCAAAGGGAACAGAACTGATTAGGCTCCAGTTCCAACAACAACAATATCCACAACTCCAGAGCATCACCCCATCCCCTCATACCAAACATGTGGGCTTGGAGTCATGAGACTGAAGTCCAAGTCTCAATTCTCTGGGATCTTGAGCAATTTCAAGTCCCATTTCTGTGGAACCTGGAGCCTCAGTATACTCATCGGCAAAGTGGGAATTGGAATTACAGGGACACATGGCTGCAGGTCACCTACTGCAGGAGTCCCATCTACCATGCCATAGACAAGCAGTTCTGTCTTACAGGTTGTTGGATGGATATAATTTTTAAGAATGCATAGGCTTTTGGAAAGACTTATATGAACTGATGCAAAGTGAAGTAAACAGAACCCGGAGAACATTGTACTCAGTAACAGCAATATGTACGATGAAGAACTGTGAAAGAGGGGCAGCTAGGTGGTGCAGTGGATAGAGTACTGGCCCTGAATTCGGGAGGACCTGAGTTCAAATCCAGCCTCAGACACATAACACTTACTAGCTGTGTGACCCTGGGCAAGTCACTTAACCCCATTGCCTAGCCAAAAAAAAAAGAAAAGAAAAGAAAAAGAACTGTGAAAGACTTAACTATTCTCAGCAATACAATGATACAAGACAATCCCAATTGAATCATACTATCTGCCTCCAGAGAAAGAACTGATATTGTTTGAATACAGACTGAAGCATGTTATTTTCACTCTCTTTCATTCTTTTTTTTTTAATTCGAGTCTTCTTATACAAAATGACTAATATGGAAACGTTTTACATAACTGCACATGTATAACCTATATCTGATTACTTACCACCTTAGGGAGGGAAGAGAGTAGGGAGGAACAGAGGGATAGAATTTGGAACTCAAAACTTTTAAAAAATGTTAAATAATTGTTTTAACATGTAATTGGAGAAAAGAGAATGTGTGTGTGTGTGTGTGTGTGTGTGTGTATACACACACACACACACACACACACACACATAATATGTATATAAAGAATGCATAGGTTTTCTTCAAGTACTTCACTGGCTGTCACGAGGAAGAGGGGTTACATTTGTTCTGTTTGGCCCTAGAAGGCAGGACCAGGAGCACAGGGTGGGAGTTTCAGAAAAGTAAATTGCATCTTCCTAAAAATTAACACTGTCCCAAAGTGGAATGTCTTGCTTTGGGAAGTAGTGAGTTCTCCATCACTGGAGATATTCATCCTGCTTCTTCTTGGACACTTTTCATGATGGAGAACTAATTACTTACTGAGGTGGTCCATTCCATTTTCAAATTGGTTAACAGGTTATTTTTTTAATATGGAGTCAGATTCTCCACACTGCCCTCGGGAGGAGGTGTGTCTGAACCATCGGTAGACTGGTAAATTAGAACCAAGGACTTTTTTTAAAGAGTCATAGTATAATTTCTTGGATTGAAAAATGGAGCCAGGCCTCTTGACTCCCAGATCAGAGCATGCTGTCTCTGATAAGTTAAATATCAAAGTGACCTTGAATAGTGGTTGATGACAGAGTTAGTGATAGGGCTTGCCCTAAAATCCCTCAGCAGGGCCCCTTTCCCACTTTTGGGTACCCTTTCTCTCCAGGCTCCTGGCTTCTTCATGCTGATTGTTTGCCCATCCTCTCCTACTTTCTATCATGGTCTTCCCAAGAGATACCGTCCCAAGGTATTTACCTTGATATTGTAAGCCAAAAGAGTGATTAAGAATTTCAGGCACTATGGGAGCTAGAGGTAGGGCTAGAAGTGAGGAGTAGGGTAAACTTGGAAAACAATATACCAGATGTAGTCTGACCAGATCAGAGTAGAGTGCAACTATCACCTTATTCCTGGAAACTATGTTCCTCTTAATGCCACCTAGTTTTGTTTTGTTTTTTATCTTTTTGGCTGCTATCCCATATAAAGTTGGCTAATATTGAGGTTGCAATTAGCTTTACAAAGCCATAAATCTCTTTTTTAATTTTTTTTTTAGGCAATTGGGGTTAAGTGACTTGCCCAGGGTCACACAGCTAGTAAGTGTCAAGTGTTTGGTCTGAGGCCAGATTTGAACTCAGGTCCTCCTGACTTCAGGGCCAGTGCTCTATCCACTGCATCACCTAGCTGCCCTGACAAATCTCTTTCAGAAGAACTATTGTCATACCTTCTTTTGCTTGCTGTTTCTCCCCAGATGGAAGGAATGAAAGAAGGAGGGAGAAAGGAAGAGAAGAAGGAAAGAAACAAGCATTAAGCACCCACTGTGTGCCAGACACCATGCTGAGCACTTTGCAAATATCATCTCATTTGACCCTCACGACAACCCTAGGAGGCGGGTGCTTAACTGTAGTTGAGGAGACTGAGGCAAACAGCAGTTAGTGACTTGTTCAAGGTCACACAGCTAGCAAGTGCCTGAGGCTGGATTTGAACTTGGGTCTTCTCGGCTCCACGTCCAGCACTCTACCCACTGGACCACCTAGCTGGGACAAGGCAATATGCCATTGCCAAGCTCTAACAACTAAGATTCTTTGAGTAGTAGACAAATTATTCCAATTGAAACAGAGGAGGTCTCATTAGCATGCCATGCCTCACCTGAGGGGGGAGGAGAGAAGCCTGCTGGCATGAAAAGCCAAAATCACTTTCCCATCAGTTTTCATTATACAGTCCCCCTGCTTGTGATCCCAGTGGAGAGCTCCAAAAGACAAACTCAGAGCCGCTGCAGCTAAATTTGGGGATCATTGTGTCTATATTCAAAACTCCCTCTGCCCTGGGCCCTCAATGCTACCTGAAAGTCCAGCCTCTCAGACCTTGACTATCCAAACTTCCGAGCCTCCAGAGACCCAACCAGAAGCACCCCCAATTTAAAGCTTTCAGACCAAAGATTTCTCCAGCTGGGGTCATGAATCACTAATACTACGGTCATGAGGTGGCATTTTTATACTTTTTCTTTATGCGAGTCATAAAAATATTATACTTACCACATCTCTGGTTTCAGTCTGTTTTATGCTTTACACAATGAGGTTTAGCCTAATTTTTCGAGATTCTGAATTTCTCTTGACAGATATTGGAATCAGTGCAGCTAACTTCAATAATTTTCTTTCAGATATTATCAGAAATGCAAGATTACTTGCTGAGAGTACCCCTCCCCCAAACTTCAACATCAAGTGATTCACACCATCAAGAATGTCATGCTTTTAAGTAAAGTTCCCTTTCCCTGGTCACTAGACAGACACTGTTCTAATGTAATTTATATTCTCTGCAGTGCTTTCAGTCCCTGAAATTATTACATCAGCTTCTGGGGCACTTCGGGCTATGAGGCCCCATTCAATTCAATTTGCACCAATATTTGTTGGATGTGTATTACGAATAAGGCCCTGGGATGGGGATATTGAGATAAATCAGACAGGGTTATTCATGTGACAAGCTCCCTATATAGAATTCTTGTGCTTCTTTTATTTTCAAAAAATAGCAAAACTCCCCAATATCCATCAGGCCCCAAGGAGCTATCTAGTTCAAACGGTTAGTTGATTCCACCGATGACCCTGGTTTTCCGTTATGTTTGGGAATAGATTAAGGTCTCTTGTTTGGTCTGGGACATGCTGGAAACTGCTATGGAATATTGCTAAGAGGATGCAAAGACTTGAGCGATAGGAAGAGCACTGGGTTTAATGTCTGAGGACCTAAGTTCAAATCCCAACTCTGGACTGTATGAGCTCAAGTCACTTAAACTCTTTGGACCTCAGTTTCTTCAACTATAAAACGAGGAGGTCGAACCAGATGAAGCCCTAAGGCCCTCATCCAGTTCAAAATCCAATGAACCAATGAATCTTATATCACCCTTCAGGAAGTCTGGCCTGTCTAGGGTTCTTTTGAACCTGAGATGGCTTTGGATTGCCAAGAAGAGGAACCAAGCATCTGTCTGGTACCCTATAGGTGACATGTACATTTTGGCTTTGTGTAAATGGGGATTCAGACAGCCCACTATGTACATAGTGGCTGTATGGTCTCCTTCCAGGCAAAAAGGCTAATCTACCACCTCTACAAATTCTGACTAATGACTTGGCATCATGGAAATTTTCCAGAATCATATAATATTAGAAGTTGTCTGGTTTAAGCTCAACCTGATGGGTAAATTATCTCTCCTAATAAAAGGCTACTCAATAAAATGTGAGCTCTTTGAACATAAAGACTGGTGAATTTTTACCTTTGTATCCTCAGCACCGAACACATTGTAGGTGATGAATAAAATGCTTATTGATTGACTTACTGATCAATTCATCTTCTGCTTGTGTGCCTCTAATGACAAGGAAGCCTCTAACCCCTGATATAGCCCATTCTATCTTCAGACGGCTTTAATTTTTAGGCCAACCTTCCTTAAATGGAGTCAAAGTCATGATCCACAAAAATTCCAAAGGATTTATGATGAAAAACACATCCACAGCCACAGAGAGAACTGATGAACTCTGAGAGCTGATTGAAACATTTTTTTCACTTAATTTTCTCACCACGGCTAATGTGGAAATGTGTTTTGCATGATTTCATAGATACAATAAGTATTGTACTTCTTGCCTTCTTAATGAGTGGGGGATGGGGGTGGAGTCAGGGAAAGAATTTGGAGCTGGAAATAATTTTTTTTTTTAGATTTAAGGGCTTCTTAACTGAATTTGACTGTTTCCCTGGATAGAATATAAGATCTTTGAGGGAAAGGGACTCTTTAATTTTTGCTTTCATATTTATAGTACCTGGCACATGGTAGATGCTTAAACAGTTGATCAGTTGAGTTTTTTTTTACCATTTTCCATAGTGTGCATGTGCGCACGTGCACATGCACACACACACACACGCACACACACACACACACACACACCCCAGTGGCATATTGATGCTTTTTAGGAAATCTGAAGATAATTTACATCACTGCCAAAAGCTGCCCTTTCTAAATCATCAGGTAGATGGAGTCAGTTGCACTGGCCATTCCCAAACCTTGGAAGGAAAATGTTAGTCTTTCTGTTGCCCCATAACACTAATACAAGGGGGAAAGGCCTCAGAAAGATGCAAATTCTTAGCTGTAGCAGCTGAGAAAAATAATTCATCCTCTTCTTGCATCATGAAGAGCTAATTGAGTAAGTATCCCACAGAAAAAAATGATTTGCACTGATGAAAGAGACTTTCATGCTACATGCATGCTAAACACATTACGGGATCATAAGAATCAGGAATGAGAAGGGACTCTAGGTAACACCATTCTACAAATGAGGACCCAAGAATCAGATGCCCAAGGTCACCTAGGTGGTAAGTGGCAGTGCCAGGATATGAACCCAGGTCCTCTGACCCCAAATCCAGAGCACTTCCCAGTGTGCCAGGCTAAAGAGAGAACTACAGGGTCGTAAAGTATGGTGGCAGAGACTGTGGCCTCCTACTTAACTTATTTTTTCCCTCTTTTAAAAATATTTTCTTGATACCAATATTCCGCCCCAATAGAGCTCTTTTATTGTAACAAAGAAAAACTGTTAGGCGAAACAAACTGTTACAATAACTGTGTTTGACTGTGCATATGACAGTATTTTTATCCATTTTTGCGTACCCCATAGCACGTAGCTCAGATTTGTACAGGGTAGTAATAAGTGCTTAGTAAGTACTTACTGGATGAATGGAAATAATAATAATAACAATATTAAACAACTAGCAGTTACATAGTATTGTAAGGTACTTACCTTCCTATGTTGTTGCTAAGATCAAATGATCATATATGTAAAATGCTTTGCAAACCTTAAAGTACTATATAAATACCAATTATTACTATTATTATTATTCAGCCATGTAACTATTTTCCCTGTGGGAAAAGAGGCCAGGTCCTTCCTACTTACCTTTGTGGTCTGGCAGTGTGAAAGAAAGGTGACTTTGGCAAAGGGATCGGAGAGTCCAGTGCTATCAGCAGCTATGAGTCCCCTGGCCTGGTACATGTGTGCTCTTAGCTGGAAGATGTGCTGGGCTGTGAGCAAATCAGGAAAAGTCATCAGTTATATGCCAGTGTTGGGCGAAAGAGACAGCAAATGACAGAGAATATATGAAACCATCAAATGTCTCCGCCATTACTCTGTGAGATCCTTAAGACCAGAGACTGTCTATTGTCTTTCTTTGGCAGTGTCTGGCACATACTCAACAAATACTTCTTGACTAAGTCCCTCACATGGCTTCACTGATCTTTGGGTAGGGGTTGGTTCTATGTTCACAAAGGATTTTAACAGAAGCAAGGTAGTTTTTCATTAGGGCAGGCCATGGGTCCCATGTACTACACTGAGATAGGTGTGAAGTCCATAAGAACCTAACCTCCACATCAATACCTACTCCATTCAGTCTTATCAGTATTCAAAGTACTGCAAAAAGTCATAAGGAGATGGAAGATAATTTTTGCACATGTATTATTACCATTAGTAGATTAGAAACTACTTAATGGCAGTGATCACATTTATCTCTTGGACCCACTTTTTTTTTCCCTCTACACTCTCACTTGATGACCTTAACAATTCTGATAGATTCAAGTATTGTTGTCATTTGTCCTTCGTTTTTGAAGAGTGGTGATAATTGGTGATTTGGATTTAAGTGGCAGAGTTGCAGTAAGTTGTCAGCCTCATTCTCTCTTCCAGAATCACTGAATTCCAGTAGCAAGACAAAGGTCAAGATGACTGGCAATGGCCCGAGGTGCCGTGGATGACCTTGACATCTTTGATGTCTGACCAAGCTCTAAGCGCTCCACGGCACCTGCTTCAGCTGCCTTCATGGACTTTGGAATAATTTATTCTTATCTGCCCATTCTGTTGGAGGAAGTCTTCGTATGCTTAGGGTAGACACTCCCCTAACTCACCAATGGATTTGAGGCTGGCGGTTATCCTCAACCTGGTTTTAGCTTGTCTGCCGAGATGATTTAGTAGTCTGTGGCCACTGCATATGTTAAAGTTTCTTGGGGCCACATGTGAGAGTTGAGTGCCAGGTAGGCACCAAAGATGAATGAGCAGCCCTTCAAAGGACTCAGCAAACCCTCATGCCAGAGGTGCTAGTCTCCCTTAAACATCCTATAAACTGATGGATTCAATTATCACCTAAATGAATCTGAATCTCAGATCTAAACATCTAGCCCTAAGCTCTAGGCCTATATCACAAACTATTACATATTTTGAACTGGATGTCATTAGGAATTTAAAAGTCAACATGTCCCAAAACAGAAATCATTATCTTTTCCTCAAACCCACCCCCTCTTTTATTCTTGTTTATTTCTATTAGGGTGCTATCATTCTAGTCACTCAGGTCCAAAACTTTGATGTCATCTTCAACATCTCATTCTTCATTTCACATGACCAATCAGTTGACAAATCTTGTCATTTCTACCTTCACAACCCCTTCTGCAGGTCTAATTCTCTTCACCCAGATAACCAATACCCTAGTGTAGGATCTCATCAACTCTCCCCCACTGCAATAGCTTTCTAACTGGCACACAGTACGTATTTAACAAGCACTAGTTGATTACTTATTCAATATTGTACATGGTAAGCACTTAACAAAAACAACAACATTTTGTTGAAAGAACACTTCAATATTTCCAAAGACCCTGAATGTATTGGTTTGCCCTGGAAAAGTCCCTTAACATCTCTCAGCTTTAGTTTCCTCATTCATAAAATGGAGATAATAATAGCCCCCACCTCTTATGATTGTTGTGAGGACAAAATGAGATAATAGTTGTATAGCATTTTGAAAATCTTAAAGTGTTACCTATTATTTTTATTGTTATCATCATCTTAGGTAGATCCAAGACATTTTTCTACCATTATACTTGGTTTATCTGAAAAAGAAAAGTCAAGGCTGCCTTGCTGTAAGCAGTAGAATTAAATCCCAAAACTATAGGCTTTGATTGCAGGAACTTAAGTGATTAAAGTACTGGACCTCAAGTCAGAAAGTTGATTCATTGCTCTGCCATTTGAAGACTGAGTGACTGTGGAAAAGTCATATTCCCACTCTGTGCCTCAGCCCCACCCCCCTCAATAAAATGGGAATAATGATATGTAGACTGTACATATCACTTGGCTATTGTGAGGAAAGTGCTTTGGAAACTGTGAATCAGTGTGGCCTATGGAATGGAGAACTGGAATTGAGAAATGTGAGGAAGTCTCACCTCAGGCACTCTGTGTGACCCTCAGCAAATCATGGAATTTCTCAGGACTCTAAGCAACTTTCTAAGGGTGTAAACTGAAGAGAGGTTGCCAACCTGCATGAGTAGAGGGAGTTTTCCAATCCATACCAATGAAATCACAACTCCACTCCCTAATCAAGCCCCCATAATGCTTCAAATATTTAACAAGGGGGGCAGCTAGGTGGTGCAGCAGATAGAGCTCTAGCCCTGGAGTCAGGAAGACGTGAGTTCAAATCCGGCCTCAGACACATAACACTTACTCTGGGCAAGTCACTTAACTCCATTGCCCCTAGACCAAAAAAACAAACATTTAACAAGACATTTTCCTCACAACAACTCTGTGACATAGATATTATACTCATTTTACAGATGAGAAGGATGAGACATGGGAAAATGAAGTGATTTGCCCAGGGTCACACAGTAAGTGGCAGAATAAGAACTCTACCAGGTCATCATATGGAAAGAGGAGGGGGAAGGAGAGAATAGAGGAGGGGAGAGGAGAGGAGAGGAGAGGAGAGGAGAGGAGAGGAGAGGAGAGGAGAGGAGAGGAAGGAGAGGAGAGGAGAGGAGAGGAGAGGAGAGGAGAGGAGGAGAGGAGAGGGAGGGGAGGGAGGGGAGGGAGGGGAGAGGAGAGGAGAGGAGGGGAGAGGAGGGGAGAGGAGAGGAGAGGAGAGGAGAGGAGAGGAGAGGAGAGGAGAGGAGAGGAGAGGAGAGGAGAGGACAAGTGAGGGAAGGGGAGGGGAAGGGAAGGGAGGACAGGGGAAGAGAGAAGAGGGGAGGAAAGGGGAGGAGAGGAGAAGAGAGGGGAGGAGAGGAGAAGAGAGGGGAGGAGAGGGGAGGAGAGGAAGACTAAGAATGATGATCAATTGTTAGTAAATGGCTCCACTGTTAGCTGCCTTCCCTAAATCAGGGCTTCTTAAACTTTTCCCACTCATGACTCCTTTGCACTTCTTAAACCATGGATCAAGACCCCATTTAGGGCCTAAATGATAAACTACTTCTGTTTTCCACTGAAATCAAAGCAAACCAAAGCAAGAACAGGGACACTAAGTAACACAGGAAATCTAATTTTCTTTTTCTTTCACTAGCCCTAAAGCCTCCTCAGCAGCTTACTTTATGAAAGGCAACATAACCTTCAGTGGGACAGAAGACAAACCAGCAGTCAGTGGCTGGCAAGCTTGCATTGTGATGGCACCTGGAGCGTCATTCAGAACGTTAGGAGAAAGGCTTGATTCATATATGTCGTCAGTCTCTGGAAATAACCCACAACTAAGAAAAGGCTTATGTGAAGTATTTCAGCTCTCTGGTCAGTTGGGGTTTGTCCTAGAAGCCAATCTGGGAACTGGACAGGGCCTCTGAGGTTGCCAATTTTAGTCAAATCATTACAGAGAAATGTAAGCTATTTCTATATATAACCCACAGCCTGAGAGCTGTATTATTAGGAAATTTGCTTCATTTTACATTTAGTGTGTTCTGATCAGGCATGCATTCACTTTTCATTACAAATCATCCTTTCCTTAAAATGGAAACTCAAGCTGTGTGCTGTCCTAGGAAAGAAATTCAAATTGATTTTCCTCCTATTAACGTATAAGTAGGAATTTTTATTCAGTGTGGGTTTAAAAAATTATTCTAGCAAGTTCTTTTCAGGTATACCATTGTTGAGGAGGGGGACTTGGATGTGGAGGATGTAAACGATGATATTAAGAAAGTAAAGATAAATGCCCCCATCAAGCATGTACAGATCACTGTGAGCTAATGCTTGCATAGTTAGATGGACCTCAGAAGGCCATTCAACAGGTTGTATGGTCTTTTCACCCAGTGACTGTCTTACCTTGGTAAGTCAGGCTGGCGGGGGGGTAACTGGTACCACTGGCTTTGGTTAATGTCTCAGCTTCATATCCAATAGGCAAGTTGTCCAAAATAGTATTGGAGTACTTGACAGACCCCAGCCAGAGGTATGCATCCACTTTTCCTTGCACAGTCCAACCTGTCAGACGTCGTCCTGGAAGCTGTGGAAATATCACCAAAGGCTGCTATGTTAATGAAAATTTGCTCTTAGCACAGGGAATAGTGTCCTCCTTAGGGACACCATTGAATGGAGAACTCTTGTTCCATATGAGTTACAGAGTAGGAAGAGTACTCAATTTAGAATAAAGGAAGTGGGCTCAAAACTGGGTTCTGATATCTGACGGTGAACTCCTTAAGGGCAGGGACTGTCTTTTGCCTTTCTTAGCACTTAGCATGGTGCCTGGCACATAGTAGGCATTTAATAAATGCTTATCGACTGAACTTCCCTGAGCCTCTGTTATGGTTGTGCTAGGTAATCTCTAAGTGATGCCTACAAAGAAAGGGCCAGTCATTCCTACTGTGGCCAGCCAACTGCCACAGAAAGCAAGCCAGCTCAGTGAAGCAACAAGACACCCTGAAGGAGTGATAGGAGGCAGTGCATGCCAGGCGAGTCAAAGTATTGCCATGATCTTCTCCCCTCAGACCCCAGTGGAGACAGCCCAGGATCCTGAAGCCAAGAGCCTCAGGAACAGCAATGCTTCCAGCCCAGGGCCCACAGCCATCATATTGGGAAGCAAGTCCTATGGAGATGCAGCCTAGCAACTGCTTCTATAGGCACCACAGCCACAGCTAATGAAGACCCAGAAAAGAAAGTCCTCATCAACAAAGTCTTTGGCATTGTCAAGTGGTTCAACATCAGAAACTAATATGATTTTGTTAGTGGAAATGACACTGAAGAAGAGTCATTATTATCTGCTTCACCACTACACCCCAAGGACCATAGGTTCTCTATCTAATTTACAGCTAAAATCTTCCTTATTTTTGTCTCCTGTGAGCTCTGCAAACTCCTTGAAAGCAGGGATTATCTCGCTTCCTTTTCTGTTTGTTTCCTTAGCATTTAGGACAATGCAAGGGCACACAGTTGGTGCTTAATAAGTGCTTCATTCATTAATTCATTTTACGGTATCTTTCAGCTCTAAATCTGTGCTCACAAGACTTCTCAGAGTCTCCATTCTCTTGAATAACCATTAGACTAATGACCTCAACTATTAATAGATTTCATTTTCTCCTGGCAATAATGATACATATGCTTGTCAGCAAGGTGCTTGATGTGAACATTTCACGGTGCAATTCAGCACAATTCAATGAAGCATCTCCTTTGTGCCAAGCACAGGCCTTGAGAATACCAGGGTGAAAAGGAGATGGTTGTTGTCCTCAATCTGGAGCATGGAATAAGATAAACACCATCCACAATTATCCTCAGCTGAGTTTTGAAGGTTTTTAGCACATGGATGTGTGGAAGAATGGCATGCAGAGACAAGGGAATAGTGTAAGAAAAACCATGGAACTAAGAAATCTCAGCATATGTTTGAGGAACAGTGAGTTAAATAGAACCTAAATGTTAGTAAAATGAGATAAGGCTGAAATATTCATTGAATGGAATTTGCTAGTTAAAAAGGTAGGTTGGAATGAGATTGTAGAAGGCCTAGAATGACAGACTAAGGAACTTAGGCTCTATTAAGGTGTGGAAATATGAATTTAAGTGCTTTCTATATACAAGACACTGTTCTAAGTGTTTTGCAAGTATTATGGCATTTTTGGAAAGAATACTGGTCCTGGAGTCAGATGACCTGGATTCAAATCCTGCCTCTGACTCATATTATCTGTGTGACCTTGGGCCAGTACTTTGCCATCCTGGGCCTCAGTTTCCTCACCGTTACTGTTCTCAGCTGAGGGAGTTAGAATAGATGACCCTTGAGTCTCCTTCTTGCTCCAGGATCATTCTGTGATCCTGTAATCACGCTGTCAAACTAGATAAATCTCCCATTAGAGGAAAATGCAGCTGATTCAGATATGTGTGTGTGTGTGTGTGTGTGTGTGTGTGTGTGTGTGCGTGTGTGTGTGTGTGTGTTTTGCCCTTTAATTCAGCTCTGAATGATATACATTCAAATATAATGCAACTCTCCCCCCTCACCCCACACATACACACTTAGGAAACACGTGTACACACTCATGTTTCTCCTGATGAGTTATGGATCCCTTTGAGTACGTATCTCATCTTAAACTATTGTTTAAAATCATTCACGAAGGTATTAATACTCCCTGATCCCTTCCTTGCTTGTTAGGTTAGAGTTCCATCTTTCAGCTTCTTTTCCCATCTGAATGACTTTCCATTCTAGTTGACTTGATCCCTTATTTTCCTTCATAACTCCCAAACTGAGAGTTAACAGAGCCACTTGTCTGTAAGATCTCTCCCTTTGCAACTCTCTTTAGTAACCTGCAGATGCTCTGTCCATAGAGTCCCTCTAACCCCAGGCACACATGCACAAAAAGATGTACACACAGAGATAGTCTCGTGCCACTGACTGATCGCTCTTCTGCTTTTGTTTGAATAAGTAAGGTTTGGAGCTACCTTCATTGTCCTGAGTGAATGACCACACCACCTCACTTATATGTTGCTTTTGTCCTATTATATCATAGCAAGTGTTCAGCACAGTACTTGGCACACAGTAGACATTAAATAAATGTGTATTGACTGACTCACTGAGTAAGGGAAATAATATGTCCTAGTGGCAAGAGGGACAACCTTATAGTCAGGAAGATCTGGGTTCAAATCCTATATGCAACATGTACTAGTTGTATGACCCTGGGCAAATCACTTGAGTTTTCAATACCCTAGGCAACTCTTTAAGAATCTAAGTTACATCACAGAGTAACTGTGAATGACTAATTTATTCTGAGTAATATGATCATTTATATCCACTATGAAGGACTTGTGAAGGAAAAAGCTATCCACCTCCAGAGAAATAACTGATATACAGAAGTTTGTACTGTATAGTTCCACATATATATCTACATCAAATGTTAGCCTTCTTTAATGTGGGGTTAGGAGGGAGGGAGGGAAACAAGATGGAATTCAAAATATGATAAAAAATACATGAATGAATTAAAAATAATAATACAAGTTACAGAGGAATTGCTGACCTGTATTAGTGAAGGGAGTTTCCACATAAGGGAATGTCTTATATCAAAGAAATAAAAAATCCAGTACCACCTTTTCCCCTTCCCCAAGAAAGAAAGAAAGAAAGAAAGAAAGAAAGAAAGAAATAGAAATAGCATCTTATCACGCATGTTAGCTTCTTGTGTGGTATTGGATTTACTCATTCCTTAGAACAAATTAGAATTATGGGACTTCAGGTCTCCACATCGTAGAGACTTTCAGGTTTTGTTTCCCTTAAGGATGAGGGAACAATGCAAAACATTTGAGTCATGGAAATGGTAGAAGCATTTGAACTCTCCAGATTCCATTACATTTTGTAAAGTGTTTATTCACCCCCTGGGTTTGCATCTTAATGGAAGCATCAAGTGGTCAGCAAATGTAGTACAGACAAGAAGAGAAGACAGACTGATTTCCCTAGCTAAGGTGGATCGATGAGTGGAAGCCACAGAGAGGCAGGTTTAGACTTGATATGCAGAAAAACTTCCTAACAATTAGAGCTGTACAAAATGGAGGGCACCGCCTTGGGGCTTTCTCAACCCCAGTCTTCAAACAAAGATGGGATGTCTACTTCTTGGGTATGATATTGGGAGATGAGTTCAAATTCGGTCTTAGCCACTTACTAGCTGTGTACCCCTAGACAAGTCACTTAACTTCTCTCAGCCTCAATTTTCTCATCTGTAAAATGGGGGTGATAATAATAGCACATTCTTCCTAGGGCTGTTAAAAGGATCAAATGAGTTAACATGTAAAAGTACTTTACAAACCTTGAAGTGCTAAGTAAATGTTAGCTATTATGTAAAAGGGATTCTTGTTCAGTTAAGGTAAACGCCTTTGAAGTCCCTTCAAACTCAGACTCCATAAATCTCTGACTTCTCTAGTCTAACCTATCCCTGAAGAAACATCTTTTTCACATAGAATTCAAAGAATCTCATTAACATCTTATGAGATATTATAAACAGAATTCTTGTTCAGATATAGGTTGGATTTGATAACTTCCAAGGGCCCTTTCAACTCAGAGATTCCATGATTTTGATTTTGCCTCAGAGGATGGACCATTCATTTGGCAGCCAACACAACCAAGCATTGGTTAGGATGGAAGTCACTCCACCAATCCTTTAAGCTGAGCTTGTACCAATGAGTCAGCCCCATATTGTGGGTAAGTACTATTTGGTAGGGAGCCCCCTCAGTATGTTCAACTCTTCTCAAAAATTGCGACTGAATCATTTGACTCAGGTCAAAATATGCTGGACTTTCTTAATCCACCGAGACAGCACAGACATTAGCCTCAAACAAGTCCTATAACAAGTCCATCTATTCACATTCCTTTCTACTAATGTCCTTTTTTCTTTTCTTTTTTCTTTCCTCCCTTCCCTTTCTTTCTTTCTCTCTCTCTCTTTCTTTCTCTCTCTCTCTCTTTCTTTCTTTCTTTCTTTCTTTCTTTCTTTCTTTCTTTCTTTCTTTCTCTCTCTCTCTCTCTCTCTCTCTTTCTTTCTTTCTTTCTTTCTTTCTTTTTCTTCCTTCCTTCTGTTCTTCCTTCCGTTCTTTCTTTCTTTCTTTCTGGTATAGCACATCAGAATTCTACTCTTCTTCTATATCAATTTGTGTCACAAAGGCAGTTGCAAGGTTTCCAGTGTTTAAAATTGTAAACTAAACTTGTTCCATTTCTTAGTGGTGATTTAACTCAAACAAAGCTTTTCTCTGAAATAGGTAATGGCAATAGTTTCTTCTCACTACACTTTGTCATTTGTGTTTAATAAGTGAAATTATTAACCATTCTAGAATTTGGACTAACTATTCACACAGGAAATAACAAGGGGATGAGGAATGTCTATTGTCCAGAAAATGAGCATGCTGTCAGATTCATGGCTCATTGAGCTGGTCCATAAATATCTTATATTTTGGAAAGATACCAAAAGCCAACAATGAGCTAGGCTTAAAATTGTATAGAAGGAGGAGTAGGCTGGGTAGAAATCGGAAGATCACATAGTGCCTTTAATGACCCCAAGCTTTTTCCAAAAACAAAGGACTTTGTTTTTAATGCTTATGGTCTTCTGGTGATGTTACATAACTCTAAAGCTTGGGATACCACAGTCTCTAAAGAAGCCCCTCATAGAACCTTCTCCTCTCCCCCAACTCTGTTCAGGAATGGTTCAAGCACTACCTTATGATACATGAAGTCTCTTCTATCCCTCTCAACTGCTAGTGCCTTCCCCCTCAAACTACTTTGTATTTATATTTATTCATTCTCTTTTCACCTAGATATCAGTGCAAATAAATAATAAGGAATTTCAAAAGGTGGTCATGTTATTCAAATTTGCACTGCATTTTTCCATTGGACTGGAACCGGTGACTACATTTTACATAATCATAACTTCAAATAGTTTGAATTCATAAACATATGACTACTTCCTAGGATTCACTGTTCACAATAATTGGGACTTGGCTGTATATTTATTCTGTATATATGTCCTTGATGTCCATCCTCTATACCCCTAGAAATATTAGCTCATTATTGGTATAGATTGATTTGTTATATTTTTATTCCCAAAATTTAGCAGAGCACGTTGAGTACAAGAGGTGCTTAAGAAATGTGATGATTGATCATTAAAATTGCAGATCATTCAAAGGACACAGGAACTATAGGAGAGCTGTGAGCATTCTGCAGCGTGCTACTTATAAAGGATTGCACAGTGTAAAAAGTCTCATCCAGAACAGATAGAACCAGAAGAGGAGGAAGCATGGCCATGAGTTGAAAGTGAGGAATAACTGAGAGACAAGGCCGCTGGCACCAATACAAGTCAAGAGGCCTAGAGGAAAGAAGGCCTCCAACACGGTGGATGGGCTTCCTGAGAAGGACTCATGGGAGGGTATTAATCAGAGTCCCCCAGGAAGAGAAGAGAAGGCACAGATGGATTGCAATCGTACTCACAGAGACAACGCCTGCATCAGTGAGACTACAGATCCATCAAAATGAAGATTTTAAGGCTGCAGCTCCCTGGGCTTCATCAGCATGTAGGAAAATGAGACCCAGAGTTGGCACCAAATGTGGTTCACTACCCACTGGGGTGTGTGATCCCATTGATGTGGACCCTTCCTTTGGTGAAGATCACAACTCGTCCTCAGCAGGTCTCGTCTATGGCCTCCCCTGAATCCCTCCCTAGGGGACCTACCCAGTGTGCTAGAGGCCTCCCACTAACCTTTTCAAATCCCAGCTCTCACATTTACTAGCTATGTGACCTTGGGCAAGTTATTATCCATCTCTGGGCCCCAGTTTCCTTATCTATAAAATTAGGGGTAAGGGTTGAGCATCATTTCTAAATATTTATATATTAAATACTGACCATATGCCTTATACTACAGTGGGCAGTGAGGATTTGAAGACAAAAATGAAAAAGATGATTTCTGTGGTTTCTTCCATCTCCAAAACCTATAAATGCTTCTGCAAAATGGGAATAATAATAGCACCTACTTCCCAGGGTTGTTGTGAGAATACAATGAGATATTTGTAAAGCACTTTGCAAACTTTAAAATACCAGATATACAGTATTGTTGTTATTGTCATTGTCATCATCATCAGCATCATCGTCATCATCATTGCTTCCTTGGATTAATACATTTGTTTTAAAAGATCAGAAGAACCACAAATTTAGAGACAGAAGAGGTCTTAGAGGTCATCAAATCCAACCCCCTCATTTTACAGATGAGAAAATCGAAGATGATCATGGTTCAGTGGTTTACCCAGGGTCATGCACCTAGCAAGTATTTGTGGCAGGATTTGAACCCAGGTCTTTCTGATGTCAAATCCAGGGCCCTATTCCCTACATCATACTGCTTTTTAAAGCAAATATGGTGACATCCATTCACAGATTCTTTCACTATTCCACATCCTGTTGGCCCTACTCTAACCACTTATCAAGTTTTTCCTCCATTCCATTCAACAAGTATCTCTTAGAAAGTGACATCCAAAGTTAGCCCAGCAACAAAAGGAAAATAAAAAATAAAAGACCCCTAGATTACAGAGGAGTGGTGGATATGTTGGCATACATGTGTCTGTGTATGTGCATCTGTATGTGTCTCTATGTGTATATATATATGTATACATATACATGTGTGTATTTATGTATGTATATGTCTGTGTGCCTTGTGTATGTATATGTATGTATTGTGTCTGTGTCTGTGTGTGATTGTGTACATATATGTGCATATATATTTAAGTGTGTACATGCATCATGCTTGTGTGTGCATGTGTGAATATGTGTATTTTGTGTGTGTGTGTGTGTGTGTGTGTGTGTGTGTGTGTGTGTGTGTGTGCAGAAGTGCCTAAGCCCTTCCAGGGCTGGGAATCCTTGCTTGTGTAGCTGTGCCCACATTGCACTTTATCTGACAGGCTTTCTACAACCCAATTTTAAACAATACTAAGAAGCATTACAATATTTGGAGGGAGCAGCAGCATGCCAATTTAGCTTTATTTTTAGCTAGCTTTCTCCTGTAATGGTGGCTTATTTTTAAAGCTATTAACTCTGCTTTCTCAGTGTTCTCTCATTGGGCATGCTTAAAATAGTGCCTGGAACACAGCAAGTGCTTAATAAATGCTTGTTGACGGGACTGACTACAAGCGAAGAGAGACAGACTCAAGAACGTAAGATAGATAGGGATGCAACGCTGCATCGGGAGAGGTTAAAACAGAACAAGTGTGGTACTTACTTTCAGAAAATGAGTTTGGAGCATCCCACAGTGTTTCCCCCTTTGTTCACTGGAAGGGGAATAGAGCAGGTCTTTGGATGAAATCCGGGCATAGGCCACTCGTTTGTTGCTGCTGAGCATCCAAATGAAGACATCGGGGATGGTGTGTTGTGGCTGTTGGGATGACCAAAACACAGAGCTTTCACCACTTGGAGCGGCCTCGGATGAACCAAATGGTTCAGTGTTATCTCAGTTCTGCAACTAACCAGCTGGGCAATCTTATGTAATTGGTTTTACCTCTCTGAGCCTCAGTTTCCCTTTCTGCAAAATAAGGAGGCTGGACTTTTTATTTATTTATTTTTTGTATTTTTGTATTTTTGTATTTTTTAGGTCATATATTTATTTTATTTGAATTGTTACTGAGATTTTTGTTTACATTACTGTCATTTTAAAGTATAAACATCCTATTGTATTTTAATATTTAATATTTGTTATACCCACTTTCCTAACTATTCTTTTCCTTTTAGTTATATATTTTTTAAATGTACAGAATATTTTCTTTTTCTTCTTTTTAATATAAATTTATTTATTTTTAGTTTTCAATATTCACTTCCACAAGTTTTTGAGTTCCAAATTTCTCACCCCTCCCCCCACCCCAAGATGGCATGCATTCTGAATACCCCTTCCCCTGGTCTGCCTTCTCTTCTATCTCTCCCCCCTCCCTTCTCTTATCCCCTTCCCCTTCTATTTTCCTGTAGAGCAGGATACACTTCTGTACCCCATTTCCTGTATTTCTTATTTCCCAGTTGCATGTGAAAACATTTTTTTTAAAAACGTGTTTTTAAAACTTTGACTTCATAATTTTCTCCCTTCCTCCCTCCCCACCCACCCTCATTGAAAACACAAGCAACTCAATATAGGTTGTACATGTGCAGTTATGCAAAACACTTCCTTAGTAGACACGTTGTGAAAAACTAACTCTATTTCCCTTAATCCTATCCTGCCCTCCCATTTATTCTATTCTTTCTTTTGACCCAGTCCCTCCTCAGAAGTATTTGCTTCTGATTGCCTTCTTTCCAAATCTGTCCTTCTCTCTATCACCCCCTTGCTCTCTTGTCCCCTTCTCCCCCTATTTTCCTGTAGGGTAAGACAGATTTCCATACCCAATTGAATGTGTATGTTATTCTCTCCTTAAGCCAAATCCTATGAGAATAAGATTCCCTCATTCCCTCTCACCTTCCCCTGTTTCCCCTCCACTGTGAGAGACTTTTCTTTTCTGGTTTTTTTGTGAGATAATTTACCCCATTCTACCTCTCCCTTTCTTCTCCCAGTATCATCCTCTCTCATCCCTTAATTTTATTCTCCAGATATGACCCCTTAATCTTCAACTCACCCTGTGCCCTCTATCTATCTATATATACATACAATTTTTTTCCTTCAACTACCCTAATACTGACAAAGTTCTCATGAGTTACAAATATCATCTTTCCATGCAGGAATGTAAACAGTTCAATCTTAATAAGTCTCTTATGATTTCTCTTTCCTGTTTACCTCTTCATGTTCCACTGGAGTCCTGTATTTGAAAGTCAAATTTTCTATTCAGCTCTGGTCTTTTCATCAAGAATGCTTGAAAGTCCTCTATTTCACTGAATGACCATTTTTTCCCCTGAAGGATTATACTCAGTTTTGCTGGGTAGGTGATTCTTGGTTGTAATCCTATCTCCTTTGCCCTCTGGAATATTATATTCCATGCCCTGCGGTCCTTTAATGTAGAAGCTGCTAAATCTTGTGTTATCCTGATTGTGTTTCCACAGTACTTGAATTGTTTCCTTCTGGCAGCTTGTAATATTTTCTCCTTGACCTGGGAACTCTGGAATTTGGCTACAATATTCCTAGGAGTTTTCCTTTGGGGATCTCTTTCAGGAGGAGATCTGTGGATTCTTTCAATTTCTATTTTGCCCTCTGGTTCTAAAATATCAGGCAGTTTTCCTTGATAATTTCTTGAAAGATGATGTCTAGGCTCTTTTTTTGATCATGGCTTTCAGATAGTCCAATAATTTTTAAATTCTCTCTCCTGGATCTATTTCCAGGTCAGTTGTTTTTCCAATGAGATATTTCACATTTTTCTAATTTTTCATTCTTTTGGATTTGTTTTACAGTGTCTTGATTTCTCATAAAGTCACTGTCTTCCAATTGCTCTATTCTAATTTTTAAGGAAGTATTTTCTTCAGTAATCTTTTGGACTTCCTTTTCCATTTGGCCAATTTTTCTTTTTAGGGCATTTTTCTCCTCATTGGCTTTTTGGACCTCTTTTGCCATTTGGGTTAGGCTATTTTTTAAGGTGTTATTTTCTTCAGTATTTTTTTGGGTCTCCTTTAGCAAGCTGTTGACTTGTTTTTCATGATTTTCTTGCATCACTCTCATTTCTCTTCCCAGTTTTTCCTCTACTTCCCTTACTTGCTTCTCAAAATCCCTTTTGAGCTCTTCCAAGGCCTGGGACTGATTCATATTTTTCTTGGAGGCTTTGGATGTAGGAGCTTTGACTTTGTTGTCTTCTTCTGGTTGTATATTTTGATCTTCTTTTTCACCAAAGTAAGATAATATAGTCTGACTCTTTTTGCACTGCTTGCTCATGATCCCAGCCAATTACTTGAGTTTTAAACTCTTTGTTAAGGTAAGAGTCTGCTTCCAATGTGGAGAGTGTACTGTCCCAAGCTTCAGGGGTTTGTGTAGCTGTTTTCAGAGATACTTGTAGGGACCTGTAAATTTTCAGTTCTTCCAAGGTGGTATGATAAGGGGCGAGGTGTTTACTCCTTTCCTGGCCTGTGACCACAAGTATTCCTTTCTGTCCTGTAACTGTGAGGAGGGGTTCCTCTCCACAGCCACTACAAGCTCCACCATGCCAGGCCAGCGCTCCTCCTCACCCCAGCACTGCCGCCCAGAACTGTGACCCAGATCCACACACGGGCAAAGCAAGAGATTCCTGCCTCAGCACTGGCAAAGAGATCCCTGCAGTCCCTCTCTGATCAGCCACTGGATTCCCCCTCAGTCTGTGGGCCGGAAGCTCGGGAAGCAGCTGCCCCCCCCCCAGGGCCACGCTCTTGGGGAATGGAGCTGAAACCCCACCTTCCTGTCTCAGCACCACAGAAACAGACTTTTCCCACTGACCTTCTAAGTTGTCTTTGGCATTCGTGGATTGAGGAGTCTGGAAACCTCCACAGCTGCCCACGATTCAGTCCTCTGAGGCCTGCTCCAGGTTTGCTGCGGCCTGCGCGCCCACGCCATGCTGCACTCCCAGCCCGGCGTGATACACCTTTCTGATCAATCATCCAGGTTGTCTTGGGCTGGAAATTTGTTTCACTCTGTCTTTTTGTGGGTTCTGCTGCTTCAGAATTTGTTTAGAGCCATTTTTATGAGTATTTGGAGGGGTTTGGGGGAGAGCTCAAGCAAGTCACTGCTTTCACTCCGCCATCTTGGCTCCGCCCAACAAATGTATCAAGGTTGGACTTTTTAATATCTCGTCTCTATGAGATAGCACTTCTTGCAAGTACCTTCTGATGAAGGCATGAATTTGAAATATTTGATTTATTAAATCAACAAGGCAAACAAAATGTACCTTCCCTGAGGTAAGAGAACCTTGGGACATGGATTATGACCACTTTTAAACTCCAGAGTGCCCATCTGATCATTCAGGAGATGAGATTAAGCACCTTGGACAAGTCATTTGGCCTTTTCTTACCCCAAGGTTTTCCATCTGTAGAATAAAGCCATTGTCTGCTAGTTTTCCAGTTGTCTTGCTAAATACTCAAATTGAATTGACACTTACTTACTGATGACCATGTTAATAATGAATATAGGAAAAGTTTGGCATTCTGAAGCCATGGAATATTCCGGAAACTATTGAAACCAAAATACAGACAACAAGAGCAAGGAGAACATCATCATTTGCTCCTCCAGGAGGGAGTTCAGGTGGCTTTCTGAGTGGTACCATACAAGGCACACTTCACAAAATGCTTTTTGTTGCATTGAAGATTGGCTTTCCAAATGAGAGACATGATGATTGCTGAATATTTTAGCTCCATTTTAGCTCACTATTCAGGAGTTTGACTTGATTGCACAGACAATTAGACTTAGAAATCTATTAAATCTAAGCAGTGATGGATAGCACCCCTACCAAGTGGCCTGCTAAATGAGGCCTTGCTTGAAGTACTCAGCTCTTTACCAGTGCACTCATTAAGTGAAAGCACACAGGTTGCCATAATTTATTCTCTTTATCTTCATAGCTCAGTGGAGATGCTGCATTTTATGAATTCTACAACATGCTTGAGAGGTCAGTCTGGTGCCAGTCACCCAGGATTCTTCTTGGAGGTAGAATCTGAGGCACTGAAAAGTTCAGGAAATTCTAAAAAGATGCGGGACTGGTAAGTCACAGAACCATTATCAGAACTCAGAGTTCCAAACTTCTGAAGTTAAAATGAAACCCCAAATGCTAAGGGTCTGCTTCACTGCTCATTATATTACTCAGGGATGAGGCACATGTACAAAATAGGCAAGTCTGAGTCTCAACTCACTACCCAAGAAGAAAAATACGAGTCAGTTGTACTGTATCAATCATTCAAGAATATTATGAGATTTATCAGATATGATACTGGATTGAGAACTAGCCCACTAGCCATTAGACCACTAACCATTAACCACTAACCATTAACTATCCCAAACTATGATGGCAGCCTTCAGAAGTGGAGAACTCCATCCTAGACGTTCCACAGAAAGCTGGACGACTGCATATTTGTAATGCTGCAGTGAGGGGATTCCTATTCAGGTATGGGTTAGAGTTGATGGCTTTTGAGGTCTTTTTTAATTTGGAGATTCTGTAATTCCCCATAGCACTGTTTTGACTATCTGTATATGTATATATTCCACATAACCCTTAGTTCAGAAAATTTATACAAATTAGCAAGCTTTATGAAGGATCTGGGACACCTAATTAAGTCAAATACAGAATCATTTGCATTATACAAAGCCTACTGAGGAATAGTGGGCTTATAGTTTATATGAACATATGTTTGTATGAACATATATATGATACATATGTATGTATATATACCATGAGTCTGTATATGTGTGCATAGATATAGATATAGGAAATTCGCCTTCCATAGGTTAACATTTTATTTACTGAAAAGAAAAGATAAAAGACATTTGTCTGAGAAACACAGGTAGAAGCAGCTTTAGTAGAAGTATAATTTTGAAAGAAAAGTATTCGAGGAGAGACACAGAGTCCTGAGAGAATCTAAATGAAAAGAGTCTCTCAGAGGCAAAAGTACTAGCAGATAATAAATAAGACTTCAACACATTGTTTCCCAGCAGTCAATTTTCATATTTTACGACTTTGGTATTTTTGGCTGGGAAACGGAATCCAAGAACTATTTGGAGGTTATAAGACAATTACATATTGACTATTATATCTGACAGAAATGTGGGTTTGAGGTTTTTCATCACTACATATGAGAAGGTCCTAATTTGAGGGAAGAGAGAAATGAGGGGTCATATGAGAAAGTGGAGCATAAAAATGTCTTGTATGCAGAAACTACATACAGGAGCTTTTAGATAGAAACTAACAGAGATAAGAAGTTAACAGAAGCAAGGCAGAGCAAAGATGGAAGATGATAATAGTAGCTGTTTAGAACTGAGTCCAGCTAAGATAAGCTGACTTGAGACAGATAGACTCTGTCGTTGTTGCAAGGAACTAGTCTGATTGGAAGAATGTTATGATGCTGGCAGCTGACTGTAGAGAATTACGCTATATGGAAATTATGTTAAGTTTGAGCCCATTCTCTCTAGACACTAAAATGATATAGGAGAGAGTGTGGCCCTGAGGTGATGGGGGGAAATGCTTTTACTTCTGTTCTTGATATATCCTTCAAGCAAATACCCCTGTGTACAAGTTAATTGATGTTAAGTAGTTGAGCTGAAAATGGGGTGTGCCCCGTAGAGGTTAATGGTGGAAGTTGTGGGGAAAATACTCAGTATGTTCCCAGAAAATACTCAAGATATTGTGTTATGATTTTTTGCCTTCTCTAAATTAAGAATTAATGGTGTTATTTTGACTGGTTTATTTAAATGGAGAAGGACTAAGAAGCTATAGTTACAAGCAGTAGGTATGTTACCCCGGGACCATTAGAGTTAATTACAGTCATGTGACTGCTCCTTTCAGAAAGAATCACAACCTACCAGAATGAGTGCATATTCTGACAAGAGAGTAAACCTCTGCTCACATGCAATGTAAATCCATTTTGTAAAATAGTAATGAAAATGTTTCCTTCAGTAGGGGCTCACCTCGTCAACCAAGAACCGGATTTTGTCCACAAAGTTCTGGGCTTCATTAATCAATTCATCTATAGACATCTTCTTCTTTTGCTGCTGGACAAGTCCTTTTGCATTAGTGGCCATTGCCTCCTACCGTGGGAAGAGATTTTGGAAATATTTTCAATACGCTTTACAAAGTAAATACATTAAACCATTTGTCCCTTTTCCACGGCTCTGATCTTTGCCATTCCTTCTAAATAGAGCAGAGATGTACATGGCCAGTATCAACAATCCTGAGTGGGGCTAGAACCAGATTAAAGTGTAATTAGGAAAAAATAAAAATATAATAGAATATGGATAATGTTAATATGTGGCTTTCTAAGTCAATTTGTGGCTATAGGGATCCTTACGTATGGTTTAGGGACCCTGTTTCTATGTAAGTTTGATACTACTGCTTTAGGGGCAACTAGGTAGCGTGGTGTATAGAATGCCAACCCTGGAGTCAAAAGGACCTGAGTTCAAATCTGGGGTCAGACACTTATTAGCTATGTGACCTTGTGTAAGTCACTTAACCCTGTTTGCCTAAATTTCCTCATCTATCAAATGAGCTGGAGAAGGAAATGGTAAACCACTCTAGTATCTTTGCTAAGAAAACCCTAAATGGGGTCACAGAGAATCAGACACAATTGATCAATTAAACAACAACAAAACTATGACATTAGAGGGCCTCCCCCTGCATTTTTGTCAGCTAAAATCCTACCCATTCTTCAAGACTCGGATCAAATGCTGCCTCCTTCATATAGTCTTTGCTAATACATTCAACTAAATGAGATCCCTCCCATAAGGGATATAGCATTAGTATTATCATTCTCATTTTATAGATGCAGTGAAGTAACTTGCCTGAGATCACATGGATATCAAGGGAAGAATTGGGATTCAAATTCAGGTATTTTGACTTGAAGACCTCTCTGAGTCTCTCAGAACTTACAGAAAGGGGGTAGTATTAACGCTATGGGCCACTTTAGGCTTTGTCAAACATTTTTATTGCCAAAAGCATACTTTCTATTAGTCCCTGGTCTTGTGGGACTATGGATCTATTTTCATGGGTGACTCAAATAATAACTCATATTCAGATAGTTTACAGTTTACAAAGTGTTTTCCTTGCAACAATCTTAAGAGGTAAGTATTCTTCATTTTCCTGATGAGAAAACTGATGCTAAAAAAGGTTAAACTCTATGTTCTTCATCACACAACTAGTCAAATGGTAGAAATGAGATTCATTATCCTGCATGCAGGGCTCTTTTCCACTATACTAAACCTGCTTTTTGAATGATAAATAATAGCTACTATTTAAATCATGTTTTAAGGTTTGCAAAATACTTTATAAATGTTTAAGAGCATTGTGAGATAAGTGCTTTTGTTATTCTCATTTTACAGATGAGGAAACTGAGAATGAGAAATGTTAAGTGAATTTTCCAGGATCATACAACTAATAGGTTTCTGAGGAAGGATTCTAAGTAGTCAAACTAAACTCAAAGAATCAGGTTAAGGTCAAAATTATGTGAGCTTAAGCCCTGTTCATTTCATACAGTATGACCCCAATAAACAGTTATTAACTTGACTCACATCTGGAACTCATGCAAAAATATGCCTTCTTAAAGATATTGTAGGTATTATTTCCACTTTATAGATGACATTTACAGAATTTAAGTCATTTGCCCATGGTTATTCAGTATTTCAAACTATGTCTTTCTTGACTTTGAGTTCTATACTCTTTTCACTTCACTACCCTGACTTTAATGTGCCTGTCAAATGAGGAAATTGGATGAGACAGTCACTAAGCCCTCTTCCAGTTCTAAATCTATGATCCCATGATGAGATAAATGAGATTAATTTAAAAGTCCATGCTTTAATTTCAGGATATAAGTAGCATTTTCACAGACCAGTTCTTGCCAACATAGCTCGAGTCGTTTCTTGTCCAAAGTAGTCTGGTTCAACATTTTGGGTTTCTTTTCCGCTTCAGAGATGAAGACACTGTAAATAAGGAATAACAATATAGAAGCATGGTTAATGATAGTTATTTCATATTATTGTCAAAGTTTGTGAATAGGTTCTCTGCCATATGATAGAGACACAGATAATGGGATAGAAGAGAGATTTTCAATTTGATATCAAATAACAATGAGTCAACTTTCCTAAGAAAGAAAACATGAATTTGAAACACTGCTCAAGCATTAAATTAGATTTTAATAATGACTTATTTATTTTCTTTTTCTTCTCAAAGTCCCATGGGTATCATTATAACCACAGTTAATGAAAATGGTAATCATAGACTTGATATGATTTTCCTTCTTTCTTGAATTGCAAGATGACATTCATCTGGCCCTCCTCTCCACTGACTCAGCTCACAATCCCTCCATTCCTTGATCATTAGTTTCTTGAGCTGCTGAGCCAAAGAAATCATCCTATGGTGACCAACATACTCAAATAGATCCACAATCTCATCCATCTGGTTGTTCCTTCCAACTATGAAGATCGTAACATCCAAGCCAGTCCATCCTGTGAAACTCTTGCCCATTATTCTGACATCAAGGTCATTAGTGAAACACACAGTCTATCCAATAGCTATGCCTAGCTCTTGCCACCTGACCACCCATTTTCTTTTCCAATCACCTGATGAAATCCTTTCCTCTTCCCCTTCAAATTTCCTGATTTTTTCTGTATTGCAATCTGTTCACACCCACCACATGCCTTTTCATTGCCCTTTAAGTGAATCTCATTTTCAATCTGTCAAAGACTATAATGTTTCATGACTCATAGCCATATAGCAGCATTAATAAAATATTGGTACATAAAAACTGTATCTTTGTTTCTTAGAAAAATTTGGATCATTAAAAGACCTTTGCAATTTCCCAAAGTTTATCCAGTCTTCTCTTTGATTCTTGGACCAATTTATTGACCATTTATACTGTCTGCCCAGGATATTTATATCTACATATGTGTACATACATATATACACGTTTGTATGTGCGTGTATGCATATTTGTGGATAGATGTATCTATTTCCTGTATGTCTATACATATAATCTATGCATAAATATATACACCTATATACAAATATATACACATAAATGTATGTGAATTTATTGTCCATACATATATAAATACACACATATAAACATGTGTATATTTATTATACATAAATGTGTGAACATTTGTACATATGCATATGTACATCTTGGGCAGATATATACAGACATATATCTTAGATATACACACATGTATATATACATATATCTACCAATGGATGAGTGCTATAGGTCGTACATCTAACGTGCCATAATCTAGACAACAGACCTTCATCCATTTAGATTTTTTCCCTTATAAATGATTAGAATGAACTCTTTTGAGGGGTCATAGATCTCTTCCAGAAGATTCTGCAGTGTCCTGGGGCTAGGTACAAGCAGCATAATGCTGTACAATCAGAAGCATCCCTAGCCATAAGGAATTCTTCTTCTAATTAACCTCTATTCAAGATCTCCATAATAGCGATGAACACCTTTAGTGAGTATATATCCTCCTGTTTGAATCCTCGTTTGATGTCACTGAGCAAAAGGTTATTAGATGAGGTTATCTTTGTTGTTATATCTTTCAAGAAATCTTAAATAATTTTGATGGATGGATGGAAGGAAGACACCTTGTTTGAGGAAAGCCTTTAAATGGAGGCTCTACTTGGCTAAATAAAATGAGTGTTTTTTAATCAAAAAAATACAATGGAATTTTAAACATATATATATATATATATATATATATACACATATATATATATATATATATATATATATATACACATATATATATATATATTTCAGTCAATTATGTGAGGATAAAGATATGGTCTACAGTGGCAAATTGCTTGCAAAAAAGCCTGCCTATTCCTACTAATATCCTAATCAAGGATGATCTAATGTGCATACAGATGATTCTCATAAAAATTTTATATAGATTAAAAATAATCTATATTTGAATCTTTTTCAGACCTTTTTGGAGGCTTGGTAACAGACTATAGATTGTCATTCTGAGGACAAACCTGGCTAAACACGGAGAGAGTTATAACTAGTAAGCTGGCTACTTGGGAATAAATTATTTGGCCATAGCAATCCATGAAATAAAACTAAATTTTAAAAAATATATGCCCTTTGGGAAGCTAGGAGGTGCAGTGGATAGAGCACCAGCCCTAGATTCAGGAGAACCTCAGACACATAACACTTACTAGCTATGTGACCCCGGGCAAGTCACTTAACCCCTTTGCCTAACCAAAAATAAATAAATAAACAAACAAACAAATAAAGATATGGTCCTAAAATTGTGTGCAAAACAAAGTTCTATACACTCAAGCCTAGGTTCTATTAATTTACAAAATCAAAATTAGTAAGGTATTCCTAATTTTTAAAAAAATTTTATTAATGTATTTTGATTTATCAACAATCACTTCCATATTCTTTTGAGTTGAAAATTTTTCTCCCCCTTCCTCCCCCCTACCCTCCCCAAGATGGTGCACAATCTGATATAGGTTTTACATTTACATACCCATTAAACATATTTTCACATTAGTGAAGTTGTAAGTAAAAATTAAAACCAATAGGAGGAACCATCAGAAAGATGAAACAAAACTCAACAGAAGTGATAGCGATTCGACTTTCATAGTTCTTTCCTTGGATGTGGACAGCATTTTCCATCCTGAGGCCTCTGGAGATGTGTTAGATCCTCGTAATGCTGAGAAGGGTTCAGTTTAACAACCTTAGTCATTGCATAACATGGCTGTTATTATGTACAAAGTCCTCTTGGTTCTGCTCACTTCACTCAGCATCAGACCATATAAGTCTTTCCAGGTTTTTCTGAAGTCAGCCTGTTCATCATTTCTTATAGCACAATAGTATTCCATTACATTCATATACCACAACTTGCTCAGCCATTCCCCAATTGATGGGCATCCCCTCAATTTCCAATTCTTTGTCACCACGAAAAGAGCTGCTATGAATATTTTTGTACATGCGGGTCCTTTTCCCATTTGTTTGATCTCTTTGGGATATAGCCCTAGAAGTGCTATTGCTGGATCAAAGGGTATGCACATTTTTGTAGCCCTTTGGGCATAGTTCCAAATTGTTCTCCAAAATAGTTGGATCATTTCACAACTCCACCAACAATGTATTAGTGTTCCAATTTTTCCACATCTTCTCCAACATTTATCATATTCCCGTTTTGTCATGTTGGCCAATCTGATAGGTGTGATGTGGTACCTCAGAGTTGTTTTGATTTGCATTTCTCTAATCAATAACGATTTAGAGCATTTTTTCATATGACTATAGATGGCTTTAACTTCTTCATCTGAGAACTGTCTGTTCATACCCTTTGACCATTTATCAATTGGAGAATGGCTTGTGTTCTTATAAATTTGTCTTAATTCTCTATATATTTTAGAAATGAGGCCTTTATCAGAGAGACTGGTTGTAAAAATTCTTTCCCAATTTTCTACCTTCCTTCTAATCTCAGTTGCATTGGCTTTGTTTGTGCAAAAACTTTTCAATTTAATGTAATCAAAATTATCCATTTTAATTTTCATAATGTTCTCTATCTCCTGTTTGGTCACGAATTCTTCTGTTCTCCATAGATCTGATAGGTAAACTATTCCTTGTTCTCCCATTTTACTTATGGTATCAGCCTTTATATCTAAGTCATGAACCCATTTTGACCTTATTTTGGTATATGGTGTGAGATTTGGGTCTATGCCTAGTTTCTGCCATACTCTTTTCCAGTTTTCCCAGCAGTTTTTTTCAAAGATCTAATTTTTAAAAAAATACTACATTGGACATCTTGGAAAACATAAGTTTAAAATTCAACACAATCCATCAGAATGCTAGACATCCTCTTACTTCATCAGCCTTATGCATACTGTGAGGTGCTCTTAGATGTTCGCTTTGAGCCATCTTAATTAAGCAGTGATGCTTCTTTTTGAAAAAGAAAAGGAAAATAATGATGAAGGAGAAGGGAGAGAAAGAAAGGAAGGCTATTTGAGAGCTGTGAATGGGAGCTCTGAAAGCCTCTCAGGCTGCTATTTTTAGTCATGCAGGACTCAATGTAGCCCTTGAAAAGTCAGATTACCAACAAGAGGGATAAGAAGACAGTGTAACTGCTAGGGAAAAAAAATCCTAATTGCAAGGGGTATGCAGACAATGCATAAAGAATGAGATGTTCTCTATATCTCCCTTCTTTCCTTCTCTCTTTCCCCCCACCCCAATTCTACCACCAAAGTCTGTACTAATACCGTAATAACAAATGTTCACATATAGGGCAAATCCAGTTTCAGTCAACTGCAAGGGACAGTCCTAAGTCTCTGAGAGTTTTGTGGTATTGACAATGCCTCAAAAAAGGAAGTAGTTGACAAATACTTTGAAATGTTTTGGTTATAAAGTGTTTTTCATTTAAATGTTATTTAACACAATGAGATTTGTTTTCAAAAGCAAGGATCACTAGAAATGTTTCTTTGGCGTAATCACATTGGGAAACTATAGAACCCCTTCTCTTCTCTGATACTGCTATACCCTTGTATGCTTGGCCTTCATGCTGGCTGGTCTGCTGCCACATGTTTCTTCCCACTTCAGTCCATTCTCACTGGCTATCCCTCATGCCAGGAATGCTCTCCCTCCTCATCACCTCCTGGATGCCCTGGCTTCCTTCAAGTCCCATCTAAAATCTCACTTTCTACAAGAAGCCTTTCCCAGCTCCTCCTAATTCTAGTGGCTTCCTTCTATTAATTAATTCCTAGTTATCTTGTGTATAGGTTGATTGTATATATTTGTTAACTTGTTAACAAATTTTTAGATTATTAGATATTATAATAATTATTAGACTGTATGGTCCTTGAGGGCAGGGGCTACCTTTTGCCTCTCTTTGTATCTCCAGTGCTTAGCAGTGTCTGACACACATTAATAAATACTTATTGACTATTTCTAGAACTCAATTTTTAGTGGTGC